TTAAGATTTGGAAGATTATTTGATGCAGAATTTTATCAGATTAGATCAACTGGATTCCATAGGCAATTCTGATGTAAAACATTAAGTTTATGATATCAATTTTTGAACCTTGAAAGGTAGTATTTATCTGGAAAGAGTCAATGTTAAAATCCTAAATTGATTAACCAGTAACATGCTTGAGTTTTTTATGTGATCTTTGCAATTTATGCTCCAGAATTTGATATGACATGTTAGAGCTTCAATTCATAAGTACATAATAAGATGATCATGAAAACTGGCACTCGTTGCACTCTTCATGAATTTAATAGTAAAAAAGTTACGATTCAGTAAAAACAGTAACAGAAAGAAGGGATGAATCACACATCATTGCATCAATATAAATTTCCATACATGATTTTGTTGTATTTGTTATATTATTATAACTTTTCTATTTCTATATTCAGACTCGAACTCAAGGCTTTCAGTCTCTTGGAGTCTACCAATCACTGAAAAGACTACTAAAGCATGAAGGGCTTCCAGGATTTTACAAGTACATCTAGCATCACATTATTGCTTCCATTTCTTTCATTCATTTATTTATTTCTATATCCAGCATCACACCTCATTTTCTTCCTATCAAGACATCGCACTTCCAATCTTTTTCTTCTTAAGCCATTGTACTTTGAAAAATATATATCCACTTATAACGTTACACCTTATTAATTTTTTTCTTATTATCACATTGCACTTGAAAAAAAATATACCCAAGCATAATAGATTATACTTTGAAAAGTTGCTTTGTATTTGGATTACATTGCTATAAATATAATTCGGTAGAAATTTCAAAGTAGAAAACAGAAATGAAAGTAAAATGCTATATCATGAATGTATGTAATTATGTAAATGTTTGGTGTGTGTGTGTGTGTGTGTTTCAGAGGAAATGGAGCAAGTGTTCTTCGAATAGTTCCATATGCAGCATTGCATTTCATGACATACGAGCAGTACAGATGTTGGGTGTTGGACAACTACACCGGATTATTAGGAACGGGGCCCGTTGTAGATCTTTTAGCCGGCTCAGCAGCTGGAGGCACTGCGGTTTTATGCACTTATCCTCTCGATTTGGCTCGCACTAAACTCGCTTATCAAGTCAGCTTTTTCTTTTTCATCAAACCTTTTTGTATTTTCTTTTGGTTTTTGGGAAGTTATCGAATTGAAAAAGCGTTTTGACAATAGGGATTATTTGAAAGGGCTTATCTAGTTATGGAATGTATTTCATATTTTTTGTATATGGTTTTATTATAGGTTGTGGATGAAAAAGCAAGTTTGGGAAATGGTTGTAAAAGTGTTGTTACACAGCCTCGCTACAGTGGCATTAGAAATGTTTTACAAAGTGTGTATACAGAGGGTGGTATGCGTGGGTTGTATCGAGGTGTAGGTATGTTGTGTATGGAATGAAAAAAAAATGATTATCTGTTGTGTCTGATTGAATGAAATGGACTAGTCTTGAAAGAATAATATTCCTTTAGTTTTCAAAATGTGGACATGTTTTACATTTATATATCTTTGTTTTAAATTTTTTTTTTTATTATTATGTATGTGCAAATCAGGTCCAACACTTATTGGTATTCTGCCATATGCTGGATTGAAGTTTTACATTTATGAGAAGCTGAAAAGACATGTTTCTGAAGAGCATCAGAGATCAATCATGATGCGATTGTGTTGTGGTGCTTTGGCTGGTTTGTTTGGACAAACCTTCACGTACCCTTTAGATGTTGTTAGAAGGCAGATGCAGGTACTACTTATGTTTTATATATTGTTTTGCCTACTTAAATGCATGAAATAGCAATGTACTTGGAATTATTTATTTGTTACATTTTTCAAGATCTAATTTCTTTTATTATAGCATCTTACTTTCTTTTCTTCCTATGATAGCATTGTACTTATGAATAATCTACCTGATTATAGTAGTTTCATCCAAATACAAAGCAATTTTCACTGTTTTAGTTGAGTAGATTTTTTCTTATATTTTGTGTTTTTTCCGGATTAAACCTCAAGTTTATTTTTTGCCTAAAAAAGACCTTTTAATTTTTCATTTTTTTTTCCCAAAAAACACTTCTTTTCTTTTTTTCGAAAAAAACCCTCAACTTTTTAGTTTTTCTCTAAAAAAACCTTACATTTTACAATTTTTTTGGAGGTTAATCTTATAACAAACCTTATATTTTGGTTTTCTTTTTTCCGGATTAAGCATCAACTTTATTCTTTTTTTATGAAAAAGACCTTGCATTTTTTCCTTTTCTCCAATCTTGCCCTTTTAGTCATTTTTCTCTAAGAAAAGTAGTAAAATGTGAGTTTTTCAGGAAAAACTAAAAAGGTTGAGGATTTATTTGGAAACATTTAGAAGGTTGATGGCTTTTTCTGAAAAAAAAACACAAATTTAAGGGTTTTTTTTCGGAAAAAATGAAAAAATAGGTCTTTTTCATTATAAAAATAAAGATTAGGTTTAATCTAGAAAAAACACAAAATATAAGGTCTTTTATGAGAAGATTTTTCAAAGTGCATTTTTTTTTTGAAATTACAATGTCCTAATAGAAAGAAATGAAAGTAGGATGCTATAATAAACAAAAGAAGTGATCAATGATTATAGTACAATATCTTAATAAGAAAAAGAAATGAAAGTGTGTGATTGATTTTGATAATTAATTGTAGGTTGAAAATATGCAAGCCCTTGGTGGTGGTAGACATAAGAATACATGGCAGGGGATCACCACTATTGTCTCTGAACAAGGATGGAGGCAATTATTTGCTGGCCTCAGCATAAATTACATCAAGGTCTTAACTGAGCTTTTATTATTATTACTATTATAATACTTACTAGAAAATGTTAATTCACTCATGAGAAATTGTCATTTTGTTTGAGAATTTTTTCAAAAAAAGAATTATTGCAACTAATATTCAGCATCTCAAAATGGAAAACAGGTGGTAATATTAGTTTTTCAGAGTGTACATATATAGCAAGAAGTGATTTGGTTTATGCCTTTGGTTTTCCTCTTAAGTTTTATCTGTCTCAATAAACAATATGCTTAAAAAAAGCACTAACAGAGATGCACAATTGTTGGCAGATTGTTCCTTCGGTTGCAATTGGTTTCACAGCATATGACATGATGAAGTCATGGCTTCGCATTCCTCCTCGACAAAAAACGCAATCTGTCTCTGCTGCATAAATTTCCAAACGCATTTTATGCAAAGTTTAGACTGATAAAAGGCAGTTATTGAAATTTAAAAAAATATTTTCTTAATGAGAAGCCTATACTTAGTTAAGCTTTTAAAGTTCCATTAGAAGATATCTGTTGAAAGCTTTGAAAGAAAGAGAGAGATTGAGACACAGAATTGACTGATTATGTGGTGAAGGCTGCTTTGGGAGTTGACTCGATGTGTAGAATGTTTCTTCTTACAATCTGTGTTTAGGGAAATTGTTCCCATTTGTAAATAGTTTTTTATGGATGAAATGAACACAAGTTAGACTTCGAAATCAAAAAGTTTTTTATTATTTTATTATTGTTATTATTATTATTTTTGAGCTTTTTGCCATGTTTGTTAAGTTAGCAGCTAGAAGCTTTATCGGTGAAAACTAGCTGATAATTTAACCGAAAAAGATAAAATTACACAATAGCATGTAAATGAATAATTTAATATTTGAGTAACTTACACGAATCGTCTCTCGTGCAAGTGTTAGAAACCATGTCTAGTCATTATTTTCAAAAAATAATTTGGATTGTCTCACATTTTCTTGCATGGTTAGTTCATTTAGCTGTTAGTGGTTGTTGTTTAAGTGAATAACTGAAAGACCAAGTTGTAAAATACTAAAAACATTAATGTATTGGGGTGGAATGGTGGTACCCTCCAATTTGACACAGCAAATGCACAAGCTTCTCGCCTTCTCCTTCCTTTCTTCTCGCAACATTATTTGGCAACGTACCTCCGTCGGAAACGTACCTTGCGCCTTTGATCACCATCGTGGGCAGTGCTGCCGCACCACCAGTAGCACTGCTTCCCTTCTTTCTCCGCTTATCTATTTCCTCTCACTCTCTTTGTATTGATTGTGGGTATGAATTTTCAGGGTAGATTGAGGGTTTGATTTCGGGTTCGATTTTAAGTTTGATATCAACTTACATTTTAAGTTTTAGGTTTTAGGTTACATTTTGAGTTTTAGGTTTGAAACAATTTTGAATGATTTTAATTTTGACTTTGAGCTTGAGGTTTTGAACAATTTACTCTGGCAATTGGGGGTGAAGACGGAGGAGGAACGAAATCACTGTACTTTTACAACTTGATTGCTACTTCCCACTTCCACCATCGTAACACCGTTAAAGTACAAAAATATATGTAAAATGTACTACCAAATAAAATATTTTAAACCAATTGCAAAACAAAGCTCAAGAGGCATTTTTGGACTGTTCTGCAGGAAAGAATTGGTGTCGATATTCAAGAACGAATTGCTCTCAATTTTCCTGAATAGATTATGGGAGATTTCCCTATAAATTACGAAGACGGTTGTGAGAGGTAGGACTAAGGTGAGAAGATGGTTTTGAATGATTGTTTGAAGATGCCGAAGAACCAACAAATTTCATATCTTCTTCATTTCGATCCATGGTGGTTTGTTTTGGATTGTTATAGGTGAAGTTGTGTGTGTGAATGGATATAATTGACTGCCATTGGTATGTAAGTATCACTTTATTTGGTGGTGCACTCTTAACTATCTTGTTGATTAGAGGAAGTGGACTGAAGTCGTTAGAATGGTGAAAAGTAATATAAAGAAGAGTAAAAGAGTAAAGGGTAAATTACACCATTGGTCCCTTGTGCATATGTCATAAAGCATGTTTAGTCCCTATTTCCAAAATTTAACTCGTGCAGTCCCTCGTTGTTATTTATCTTGCACGGTTAGTCCCTATGCACGTTAACTGTTAAATCCTTCCATTTAAGCTACCCACGTGCCTTGTACGCAGGGGCATTTTCATCTTTTCAGGGTTTGTATACATGAACCAGTATGGCGCGACTTCGATAACCGATCATTTCTCATTTCATCCTCCGTCGACCCTTAGCATTGCACAAGAAAACCCTAGTTTTCTACGATGGTGAACTGGAGGATTAGGCAAGAATGGGAGGAATATGATCTCCAAAGCTCATACGGTAAAATTTTCTACATTTTCAGTTGATCATCCATTATAAGTTCCTAAAATGTAATATTTTTTTTGGGTTCGCAGCTGACAATCCATCTATGTTCTCGATACGATTGAACTATGGTGGAGTTTTTACGAAGTTTCCAGGCTGCAAATACATAAAGGGGAAGATGAAATATATTGATGGCATTGATAGTGACTTGTTCTCGGTGCATGATATGGACGAGATAATGGAATTGCTTGATTGTGTGGAACGAGGTAAAAGTATTTACTATCATTTCAAACGACCAACCTGGGATTTAGATTTTGGGTTGTATGCTTTGGGCTGTGACGAAGATATAAACCACTTTAGGTCATACGTTTATGAACACAAGGTGATAGAAGTATATACAGAGTTTTGGGAAACCAAGCTGCATACGTATCAAATGTCCCCAAACCCTGAAAAGATAAAGATACACGAAATTCCTGAGTCCCTTTGTCGTAAAAGCTTGTTATTGACATGGTCAAATTCAGGGGATTGTCCTAGTGAAGAAGCCCCTGTTTTTGAGAATGTAGAAACTATGGACGAACCCCCTAGTACATTACTTGAAACAACCTTGGAACAACCCCTTGTTACATTGAGTGAAACAGTTGAGTCAACCCCTGCCTATATACCAAGAATTGAAAGCCCTTTGACTGAACCAATGATAGGAAGCACATATCCTAATGTTGATGGTTGGGATGATACATTTGAATGGTGTGAACCTTTTGGTGGGACTCCTATGGAACAAGATGAACCAAATAGTGAAAAAGCAGGTGAAGACAGTCAAGCTAGTAAAGACAGTCATGATAGTGATGACAATGAAGATAGTGAAGACAATCAAGATAGTGATTACATAGTTGATGAAGATAATTTGTAAGATGATCCAGAGGTTGATATGAAGAACTTTCACCTCAACATTGACAAAGAAGTGGAGTGGGTTGGAAGTTTTCCTAATGATCGAGATGAACCAGTAGAAGGTGATGAAGAATTAGAGGTTATAAACACTAAAGAATTTGTATCTGCATCTTCATCAGATGAGGGTGAAGCTAGTAAAAAAAGGAAGAAGATATAAGATTTACAAAGAGCACATAAGAATGAATCAGCTGCTGTCAAAGATCCATTTTACATCCACCAGACTTTTAGCACAGCCAAGGAAGTTAAACAACAAATTTATCTTCATTCCATACAGAGTAGAAGGGAGTTAGACTTCATCAAGAATGAAAAAAACAGGATTAGAGTGGTTTGCAAAGGGAAAATACCAAACCTTGGGATATTAGAAACAGGTGGGACCAACAAAAGTAATGACAAAGTGGAACCCGGTCAAAAGAAAAAGAAAGTGAAAGATGGTTCTATTCATAAATGCCCATGGGTCCTACTAGTGAGTAAATGGAAAAAAGACATTAACTGGACTGTTAAGACCTATGAAAAGCAACATACATGCCTTCAAACAAGGAAAATTAGGGCATGCAACTACAAGTTTCTCTCTGAACAGATTGTTGACACAGTGGAGGCAAACCCAGAAATACCACTTAGAGCATTACGTGAGATGCTTGAGAAGAAATACCAAGTTGGATTGTCAGACATGAAAGCATAGGGCGAAAACGAAAGCCCTGGAATCAATTAGGGGAGATTTTGCTGCTCAGTACTCATGTCTAAGAGACTACTTACAGGAGGTGCAGAGTAGAAATCCAAACACCACAGTCAAACTTCAAGTGCAAAGTGAACCATGTTATGCATCTGAGACCAGGGTATTTGAACGAGTATACATTTGTCTTGGTCCACTGAAAAGTGGATTTGCAGCAGGGAAAAGAGATTTACTAGGGCTTGATGGTGCATTCATGAAGGGTCCATACCATGGTATGATCCTAACAACAGTGGTATGTGCATAATCATATTTTAGTATTTGATTAATGTTTGACCATAGTTAATTGTTTGCTTATTACTATGTTTGACATGATAATTCAGGGTTTAGATGGGAACAATTACACATACCCTTTGGCATATGCAGTTGTTGAAGAAGAAAACTTTAATTCATGGACTTGGTTTTTAACTAACTTAGGAGATGATCTTGGTTTGTATGCAAAATCCAACTTCACTTTCATATCAGATAGACAGAAGGTAAATAAATTTCTCCATTCATTTTCACCTGCATGTTTTACAATTCAATAAGCAACTTCACTGTTTTGATGATTTAGGGGTTATTGCCTGCACTTGAGAAACTTTTCCCAGCAGCAGAGCATAGATATTGCCTAAGGCATCTTCATGAGAACATGAAACGTAAATGGAGGGGAAAGGAATTCAAGGATTGTCTTTGGAAATGTGCAACATGTACCACCATACCACAATTCAACAGTGCCATGGAAGAACTAAAGAAACTTAACAGTGAAGCATATGACTGGCTTAATTCTATTCCATCTAAGCACTGGTCCAGATCCTAATTCTCAGGTATATACTATTATGTTTATAAGTGTATAATTTTTAAATATAATCTAATACAGTTGTGTTTTATTAGGGAGGGCACATTGTGATGCTTTGTTGAATAATATGTGTGAGAGTTTGAATAACAAGATAGTGAAGGGTCGTGATAAGCCAATTATCAGTTGCTTGGAGTTTATTAGGGAGTATATCATGAGGAAAATTGTCATGGTTCAAAAAGAAATTGACAAAGCTAATGGCCCATTAACTCCTACATCCACTAAGACCCTTGAAAAAATTAAAGAAAGGGCGGTACAGTGTAGGGTAGTGTTCTGTGGCAATGGGAAGTACCAGGTTACAAGTGAAGGTACTAATCAGTATGTGGTTAATGTGGACCAACAAACTTGTTCATGTAACAGGTGGGAACTGACTGGCATACCCTGCAAACATAGTATAACAGCTATATGGGATATGAGGCTCAACAATGAAAATGTTGGAATACCTGAGACACGGGTACACCCAACTTATTGGCTCAAGACTTGGAAAGAAATGTATGTCTTCAAAGTTGAACCTATTAATGGGAGGTTTTTGTAGGAAAAAAGCACATGTCCTACCACGTTGATACCACCAAAGTATCGTGTCCCTATTGGCAGACCAAAAAAAAGAGAAGAAGATCTGCAACAGAAGATGATGGACTGTCCACAAAATGGAAATCTGTAACATGCACAAAATGTGGAAATGTGGGCCATAATGGAAGGACCTGCAAGGGAAAATCACAGACTGGGAATGGAACAGGAGAAGGTGCAGCAGGGAATACAACAGAAGAAGGTGCAGCAGGTAGCAGTGGTGGTGTACAAAATGGAGTTGGGAACAAAGGAAAAAGCCCCATGCTTTGAGAATTTGTAGTTTGGTATCATGATCATGAAGGATAACTATGTTTTTTTTAGGCATTTATTGCCATATTACTTTGTTGTTATGTTTTGTATTTTGATACTTTGTTCCTGTCTAGGATAACTATTTGTGTGCCATAACACTATGTTGTTATTTTGGATGTCCTTTATGTTAATGGTTAATGGTTATCTTGGATATTAAAATTTTTGTCATTTTTATTGTTATATTGGATGCTACATGTATTGAATGGTATATTGCATATGTTGCAAATACCACATTTTCATTAAATTTGAACACCAACTATAACACCACATTATGATTACACAACATATTGTAAATAAAATTGAAGTTTTTTTCTTAATACAAATAACATTACAAAATACACATACCAAAATACTAACAACTTCATTACTAAACCTACACTTTATATATAAGGACTGAAACAAAAAAACCCCAGCTAATAACTAGGTAAAGCTTCAATTTGTGATTTTGTTCTTCAAGTTTCATCCTAAACGCCATACAATCACAATCCTGATCATAATCATTCACCCATCCTATGAACTTGCATAATGGTCCCTGAACCAATTAAAGTAGATGAAGAATTAGGGCAAAATTAGAGAAGATGAAGAACGAAATTGAAATCATTAACCTTACCTTTACTGTACAAGCATAATAGAGTTTCCCAGGGTTTCTTTTGCTATAAGATGTGTGAATCACTGCAGTGGCTCCACAATTGCATTTAATATCGATCATTGTTATCTATTTGGAAGAAATCGATCGAACGAGGGGAAGAGATGAACGAGAGGATAGCAGAGGAAAAGAGGGTTGCAGTGTTTTATAAGATTTAAGGTGTAACGGCATTAAGAATGGACACAAACCCTGAAAAGACAAAAATGCCCCTGCGTGCAAGGCAAGTGGGTAGCTTAAACGGAAGAATTTAACAGTTAACGTGCATAGGGACTAAGCGTGCAAGATAAATAACAACGAGGGACTACACGAGTTAAATTTTGGAAATAGGGACTAAACATGCTTTATGGCATGTGCACGAGGGACCAACGGTGTAATTTACCCAAGAGTAAAATACACGAATGGTCCTTATGGTTTGAGGTAATTTGCGCACTTGGTCCCTAACTTATTTTTTTTATCTCGAAAGGTCCCTACAATTTGTTTTTGTTACGTACTTGGTCCCTACTGTTTGTTTTTGTTATGCGCTTGGTCCAATTCTGTTAGGGTGCAAAGTCACGATTGGATGTATTTGTGCTTTACCCAATTGTATTGTGTAATAATTGTCTTTCCTATAAATAGGAAGTGAATGACACTCATTTATGTAATAATCATTCTGGAGTGTTAGACTAGAGAGAGAATTTTTACAATACCCATTTGTATGTTCTTTCTAGATCTAATGAAAGCTTAACAATATTTATTTACTCCATGTATTTATAGTTTACATGATGATTCACTAGATTTTTTCTAATTCCGCACATGTCATCATAATCAACATCACTACATTTGGTATCAGAGCAGGTGTTCTTGATTCAATCAAGAATTGATCCATAATGGTAATCTTGATTTGGTGATTCTTCATGTTATTATTGAGCTTCGTGTTTAGAGTGTTTGGTGTTCTAGAAATCAAAATTTTCCTTGATTTGATCCATTTTTGATTTTCTCTCTCTAGAATACTTGTTTGTACCACTTTCTCTTACTAGAACTTGGTTCATATTCACTTTCTCTCTCTAGAGATCTCCTTGATTTTTACTTTCTCTCTCTAGAAAACCCATTAAAAATCACTTTCTTTCTCTACAAAAACTCAATATCCTATTGATTGATCAATGATGGAAGAAACAGTTCATGATGTTTGGTTTGTAGAAGGTTTTTCATGGCCATTCAATCTTGAAGAAATTCTCAATTGTTTTGTAATTGGGTATTTCAGAAGAAATTTACTTATTTCTAAGCAGAAATGCGAAAGTGGAAAGTTCAATGGCTATCCTATTGATCTTTATTACCATAAGGCGTTGCTTGATCGTTTGGTAACAACTTTTCATGAAAGAAGGAAGAAGAAGAAAGATGATGAAATAGTTGAAGGAATTTTTCTTGATGATTGCATATATGATGATAATATTCTTGCTTCATACCTGGATGTTCATGATGTTCAAGAAAAGGGAGTTCAAGTTGATTCTCATGATGAAAAAGTTTTTTGCTCGATTGGAGTTCAAACCAATGATATTTTGTGTTCTTGTGATTTGTTTGAAGGAATGATTCCTTATCGGAAGCCGGTGATCCAAGAAATTCACAAGTATTAAACTCCAAAAGATTTGATTCAAATTCAAAAAGTTGAAGTTGTAGAAAGTGGGTAAAGCACAAATACATCCAAGCATGACTTTGCACCCTAACATTATCCCCCTCAAATTCAGGACAGGAGGCCAGGCTTCAATATCCAACGAGCTCGCACGATCAAGACCAAACTCCCCCTCGAAGTAATACCGGTCTTCAAAATCCGCAATAAATACCCAAAAAAAACCCCGCTTCAAATACCCATTAATGTCTTGCCTAAAAGGAGTATTATATAAATAGGGAAAAATAGTAGGATAGGTAAGGTGAGGGGTGGGGATGGGGTCTATTTATTTAAATAAATTAAAAAATCAAGGGAAAAATAGTCTATTTAGGTAAAATAGAGACCAAACGCGTAACAAAAACAAATAGTAGCGACCTTCTAAATTAAAAAAAATAGAGTAAATTACATGAATGCTCCTTATGGTTTGGGGTAATTTGCACGCTTGGTCCCTAACTAATTTTTTTAACTCGAAAGGTCCATACTGTTTGTTTTTGTTATGCGCTTGGACCCTACTGTTAATTTTTGTTTCACGTTTGATCCTTATCTTTCCTAAAAAGACTATTAGTTAAATAAGAAAAAATAGTGAGATAAGTAAGGTAAGGTGAGTGGGTGGGATTAAGGTATGTTTATTTAAATAAATAAAAAAATCAAGCGAAAAATAGTCTTTTTAGGTAAGACAGCGACCAAGCATGTAACAAAAACAAACAGTAAGGACTTTCCAAGTTAAAAAAATAAGTTAGGGACCAAACGTGCAAATTACCCTAAACCATAGGGACTATTCGTGTAATTTACTCTACAAAGAATAGCGATTTAGGGATGGTGGAAGGATTGGAGATAATTTAGACTTGAAAACGGTATGACGCTTTAGCAATCAGAGCTGCACCTGACACTAAGTCAATTCTAAACCCAACCCGCCTCTTGGGAGGCACACCGAGTAACTCCTCCGGAAATACATCAACAAAATTCCTAACAACTGACACATCTGAAACCGATGTCTGCTCCCCAACCCATGTATCAACCACATAGGCAAGATAACCCATACAAGCATAATGAATATGCTGTCGAGCCTTGGCCGCCATGTTGGGTTTTGTATACTACAACATCCTATGGTGCATATACAACCCTAAATACCTTGGATCTATGTTTTCACAAATTATACATACAAATGGTTTCCAAGGCATCAACCTTATAACTAACATGCATTTGACATAAACCATATAAGATACTAGTTAGGGTAACATACCTTTTATGTAGCTTGAAGTCTTGATGTATTTGGCCTTAAGAGCTTAGCCCCAATAGTGTGGAAGCCTCAAATGAAGTCACAATACATCATGGACAAAGGATGAAACTTGAGAGAGACTTCATACACACCAAACCGTCCATATCCTCCAAGAATACATTAGTGGTGATTTTGGCTATGAAGTAACATACTTATATGTGGAATTCCAAAGGTCATGGGTTAACCCAAACCCATACCCATGGGTGTTATGATCCATGGTTCATGTGGCCCAACTCTTTATGTATCCATACATAAACTTGGTCCAACATGGATCATGAGCCCAACACATATAAATATAACTAATTACCATAATTAGTCCCCATAGATTTAATTAGTCTCTTTTGATCACTAAATTAATTCTTGATCAATACTAATTAAAACATATGATTTCATATTAATATATTATAACTTATAATATATTAATAAATCCTATATAACCTTTTCTCAAGAGTCAATCATAACAAATTATCCTGATGATATGCAACCCAAATGGACCATGCTACTCTCGGGTCGAGTACATACCAATAATAGTTATGGGCTTAGACATCTAATCCAACACGCTGAATAAAACTCTGACCCAATCCTAGTACCATATCCATAGATGACCAATTCTCCCTCACTTGGGGTTCGAACTACCACTCGCTGACCCTCACAGTATATCATAACACCAAACCTACTCAGACAATCCTTTCCTACTATCACGCATACATCACCCATAGGGATAGGAATCAAATCAATCGGACAAGGAACCGCCAAGATCTCCAAGACACAACCCTGATACACTTTGGATGCACAAATCCCATGTTTGTTGGCGATAGAAACCCACAACGGACACTCCAGTTCGCCAAGTGTCATATCGAAATCCCTACTAAAAGACTAAGATACAAATGACCGACTCGCGCCCGAGTCGAATAACACAACATCATGCAAAGAATTCACTAAGAATGTACATATTAGAAACATAAACATAAGCATACCATAAAATAATTGACAGAATGATAAATGTAAACATACCACTAACGACATCTGGCGCTGCCCTGGCCTCCTCTGTCGTGAGCTGAAAAGCTCGACCTCGAGCCCTTGGGGGCTCTTCCCTACCCTGGTGCCTATCGGTGTTCCTCAAAGTAATTGGCATTGTAGCCTACACCGGTCCCACAATGAGCAAAGGACAGTAGGCCTTAATATTACCAACCTGCTCACAATGATAATAGATCCTGGTGGTCGGTGCGAGAACCTATTGGCGAAAGTCCTTGGCATAATAACCATCCTTGCCACATTTGTGGCACCCAAAAGTAGATCGACAAGGACCCTCATGAACCTTGTCGCACTTGCCACAAGTACGGTCCCTTTGACTCCCAGATCTCGCATCAGCGGCCTTGAACCACTTCGTCGTA